TCAGCGGCGCGTTCTTGAGGCCAAACGGCATCCTGACCCACTGGTAGTGCCCATAGGGACAGACGAACGCAGAGATCACCTTGGCTCTCTCGGTCATCTTGATAGCTCATAAACCACATCGCCTACTCAAAGCCAATCAAAAGATCATCAATAAGCGGCAGCGGATAGTGTGAGAGCTTGATGAAGCCATTCACCACGCGATAGTCGATGCACATCGGATGTCGACGCCATTCTTCTTGAGGACGATCACGATTGGAGATGCCCAGGGGGACGTAGAAGTCTCGATCAGCCCGTTCTCCAGAAGCTTCTTCAGAAGTTCATACACCTTGGTCCACAGGTTTGGTGCAATGGACCTTGGACGCTGGGCAACAGGTTTAGCGTCGCCTACATCCAGGTCACAAACCACTCCACGGGCAGGTGGGGGAGCTGCATTGCCGTCTCCCAAGAAGATCTTCCGATGATATTCCAGAATTCGCCTCACTTGGTCTTCCATCTCGGGCGTCGTTTCCCCAGGGACTTCAACATCTGCCTCCTCGATCTTGCACTCAGGGGTCAAGTCACGCATCTCAGAAAGCATAACGAACTGGTCACACAGCTGAGAGAGCAACTCACTTCCTTCACCTATGTAGGCCGCAGGCTATGAGGTCCCCTGTCGAAAGCCGCATGCAGCGCTCATATTCCTGCTTCAGCTTCTCCAACGGAGTTCCCGGCATCCCTGAGATCGGGATATCCCAGTAATCTTCAACAGCACCCTGAGAATCGTCGTCATCCACATCGAATCCCAGAGAATCACCTTCGTCGCCCCGCTGACCCTGAGAATCACTGCCAACTTCAACCTGTAAACTCTGGGTTTCAGCGGCCGTATCATCTTCAGGACTCATGCACTCTGGGGTTCCAACAGTCTATGAGGCAACATCGGTCACCGCATCCTTCAGAACGTCACCTAAGTCACTCGTATCAACAGCAACGTCTCGGAATTCAGGAGGGTCTTCAGGGGGCACCTCTTCAGTCTGAGTTGCAGCGTCTTCGGCGAAGCGCACGCGACGAGTCTTCGGTTTCCTGAGAATCGAGGCAAGCAGTGCCATGTCGGGGCCTTTTGCAGGTCGCGGCAGAATCTTCGTAGGCCACTGATACTCTGGGGTCTCGACACAGGATGGATCTAGCGCAGCCAGGCGTTCCGCGCGAAGTCTGCCCTCACGCGACTGAACACTCTCCAGAATAAGAGTCTGCCACTCCCGATATGCAAAAGAACCAGGGCGCCCAAAGCGTCCGGCACGTGGGAAGAAGCCATACTCCACGATTCGGGTGACTGGCGTTCTGTTGTGAATCCAGACGTCCTTGTCCGAGATGTTGACCACCTTCACAGCGACCGGCCAGGATCTCGCAGCGTAAATCAGGTGCGTTACCCAGCAGTCACCTCGTCCTGCCCACACAACTTCAGGCTGTGGGTTCGTCGGTCCATACGAAATCTTCGCCACCTTGGATTCCCCAGGGGCCAGGTACCAACTACCTGTGGTTTCCACAGGCATGTCGACACCCAGGCGATCCTCTGGAGCCCACCCACACATCATGATCGCCTCTTCATCCGGAAGTGTCACGAGACCTTTGCGAACACTGTTCCTCACTCCAGCTGCAAACATGAAACTCATACCCAGAAGTACTTCGATCCCTTCGCCAATGTTAGCAATCCAGACATCCAGGAGATAAATCACCCTCGAACCGAGAGTAATCTTCACCTGAGCACTGGCACCGATGTACGTCGGAACGCCTCCCATGCCAGACACCTTGGTTTGTTTGTGCGACTTCAGTGTGAGTCCGAGCTTACGCGCTAAGTCGAAACTCACAATATTCACAGTAGAAGGCTGCTCGCGAGAGCGAGGCAGTGCAAGGTGGAGACGTCGAGGCGTCTGCAGTTCAAGATCAGCCTGCTGCTGGATCGCAAACTCAGGAGGAAGAAGTTTCCCCTGAGTTCCAAGGTTCGACGGAGGTGAATTCTGGGTCGCGGATTCCTGAAGTCCCAGAGGACCACACCCGCGAGGGTGGTGTTCAGGCGTCTGAGGGAGGCGCCAATGCGGTTGACCCCCGGAGGTGATTGACTTGGTCTCATCTTCGGACGAGTCTGTTGTGGAAGTGAAGTCGGAGCCCGTGCGAGCGAAGGAGGAGGCGAAGACTCAGAGTTCCAAGGTGAATTCTGGGTTCGCACCACCTGAACCCAGAGTTTCAGCGCCAAGTTCGCAAGCGGCGCCCAGGAAGACGCCTGAAAGCGACATCCGGGGAGCTGCTGCGCCTGCTCCAGAATCAGGAGCAGCGGTGTTGGACACTGAGAGCTTGGTGCTGTACGTCCGACTAGAAGATCGGCGCTGGGAAGAGGTGAATCCTGGGAAGGTGACGCCCCCGAGTGTCGTCTACGAGTGGCCGACTCCGAAACTGGACGCTAACTCGTACTTCGCGGCCGCGTACGCAACGGGAGACTACTTCAAGTGGCGTTTGTCTCTGGCGAATCATGATGAAGGCTGGATCTCTGAGTTCCACCTCGCCCGGTGGGGCGTCGGAACTGCCCAGGATCTCATGGCGACTACGATTCCCCAGAATATCATGACCGCACGCGAGTGCGTCGCCATTGTGCAGACTCTGTTCTTCGAAGCTGGTTTCGAGTTTGTCAACTTGATCCCTGGCTGGTCTATAACGCGTGCTTCCAGGATTCCAGAAAGTCTGGTGCGCTTTGTCATGGAGGAAACCCAGAATTTCATCGCGGGGGAACTGGTCGAATGGAGACTGGTGATCGGTGGTGTGCCTTTCAAGGTGAACTCTGAAGACCAACATGCACCAAGTGTTCAAGGGCAAGCGCCAAGACTGGATTACCATGAGGAAGATGGAGACGGTGATCTATTGATGACGGACTATGATGCGGATCTACTGGGCCGACAGTTTGTCCTGAGATTCAGGGTCACTGGACTCAGGATTTCACGGAGCCCGCGAGGGTCAAGCGATGGTGAGCCGCGATCCAAGCGCACACAGCATGGACCGCCTCGCCCGCAAGTCCCGTCGACACCATCCGCGCTGTCCACGCCGTCGCTGTCTTCTCTTCCAGCGTACAAGTCCTCGGCTAGTGCTTCACTCCAGAATTCCACTCCCCTGAACTCCATGTCCAATGGACGTGATTCTCTGGGGGCGGAAGCCAAGGACGCTGCCCCAGGCGCGGTGCCAAGTGTCATCGGTACTTCGCGCGCTTCAGATGAGAGTACTGCCTCGGGCGTTCAAACGTCTTATGGTAGCGCTTCATCTTCGTCGATGATGTCGCTTGGACAACGAGTTGGAGCTCTAGCGCTCGTGGCCTAGAGTGCCGGTGGCTTCGCAGCTGTCGGTGATCTTGGATTTCAGGTAACCCGGACAGTCATCCCGCCGCGTCTCGTGTCAGTCGACCAAGATGACGTTGAAATGGCATCGTCGGTGTACTCTGACCCAGCGATCGCACCCAGGAAGGCCGGTCTCCCCAGGATTTTTTTTATTTCAGCGACGACTGCCGAGCCGAAACTCAGGGTCTCTGCCCCGACTTCGGGATTTAGCGGCCCGAGGGATGTCAGCGCCGATGAGCGGAGTCAACACCAGAACTCTAAGCGCACACAGCATGGACCGCCTCGCCCGCAAGTCCCGTCGACACCATCCGCGCTGTCCACGCCGTCGCTGTCTTCTCTTCCAGCGTACAAGTCCTCGGCTAGTGCTTCACTCCAGAATTCCACTCCCCTGAACTCCATGTCCAATGGACGTGATTCTCTGGGGGCGGAAGCCAAGGACGCTGCCCCAGGCGCGGTGCCAAGTGTCATCGGTACTTCGCGCGCTTCAGATAAGAGTACTGCCTCGGGCGTTCAAACGTCTTATGGTAGCGCTTCATCTTCGTCGATGATGTCGCTTGGACAACGAGTTGGAGCTCTAGCGCTCGTGGCCTAGAGTGCCGGTGGCTTCGCAGCTGTCGGTGATCTTGGATTTCAGGTAACCCGGACAGTCATCCCGCCGCGTCTCGTGTCAGTCGACCAAGATGACGTTGAAATGGCATCGTCGGTGTACTCTGACCCAGCGATCGCACCCAGGAAGGCCGGTCTCCCCAGGATTTTTTTTATTTCAGCGACGACTGCCGAGCCGAAACTCAGGGTCTCTGCCCCGACTTCGGGATTTAGCGGCCCGAGGGATGTCAGCGCCGATGAGCGGAGTCAACACCAGAACTCTAAGCGCACACAGCATGGACCGCCTCGCCCGCAAGTCCCGTCGACACCATCCGCGCTGTCCACGCCGTCGCTGTCTTCTCTTCCAGCGCACAAGTCCTCGGCTAGTGCTTCACTCCAGAATTCCACTCCCCTGAACTCCATGTCCAATGGACGTGATTCTCTGGGGGCGGAAGCCAAGGACGCTGCCCCAGGCGCGGTGCCAAGTGTCATCGGTACTTCGCGCGCTTCAGATGAGAGTACTGCCTCGGGCGTTCAAACGTCTTATGGTAGCGCTTCATCTTCGTCGATGATGTCGCTTGGACAACGAGTTGGAGCTCTAGCGCTCGTGGCCTAGAGTGCCGGTGGCTTCGCAGCTGTCGGTGATCTTGGATTTCAGGTAACCCGGACAGTCATCCCGCCGCGTCTCGTGTCAGTCGACCAAGATGACGTTGAAATGGCATCGTCGGTGTACTCTGACCCAGCGATCGCACCCAGGAAGGCCGGTCTCCCCAGGATTTTTTTATTTCAGCGACGACTGCCGAGCCGAAACTCAGGGTCTCTGCCCCGACTTCGGGATTTAGCGGCCCGAGGGATGTCAGCGCCGATGAGCAGAGTCAACACCAGAACTCTAAGGGCGTGGTGCGCTCTCGACGCTCGACGACGTCCAGGAGATCAGCTGCGTCGAGCCGCTCGAGTGGATCCAGGAATCTTGGGTCAGCTTCGTCAGTGTCCGCGAGGTCTGGGCCCGCCCAAATCGAGCTGAATGTCTTGCGACAACAGCAGGAGTGGCAGGCCCGCATGGAGCAGGAGCAACGCGAGTTTCCCGCCAGAGAACGCCTGGATGCCTTGGAGGGCGAGCTCCTCTGGGAACAACGTGACCTGGACGCACGTCGCCAGATCCAGGAACTCACGGATCGTTTGGTCCACGCTGAGATCGCCTGGGGAGAAGCGAAACGCCGTGCGCAGGACGTGGAAGCTCGCCAGACCCAGAGTTCCAATGAAACTCAGGGGATGACCCAGAGTATCACGGAAGCTGTACGTCTCGAGCGTGAGCGCCTGGATGCCGCCTACGCCGAGCGCTGGCAACAGCGCGAAGTCGAAGCCGACTCGGAGCGTGCGCGCTGGGTTTCCGAGACCTATGCGGGCTGGAAGGAACAAATGTCGACGATGGAGCAGAAGATCCAAGAGCTCGAAGCGGAAAAAGAGCGAGAGCGGGAGGCTTCCGAGAATATCCAGCGCTTCCACGCCGGCCAAGTGTGCGACCTTCGTGCAACATTGGCCCAAGTTCAAGCGCGTCGCGCAACCGTCGCCCCTGATTTGGCAACAAATGTGAGGTCGTCAGTGGTTCAGAACCCTGAAGTTGCAACCCGACCCCAAGAATCCAGTGGCGCAATCATCGGAATCGCAAGTGTCGCAGGCCAGAGACGGGAGACAGCTGATCCGAAGAACACTTCCGAAGTCGCCGCCTCCCAGCTAAGAGCGACCCTCGCGCAGACTTCCGCCGACACTTCCGGCAGAATCGCGCGCGTCAAGCGGGGACATGGCACTACGGAGACCAAGGTGACGCAGGATGTCAAGCTTGAGCCTGTATTTCTGGGGAAGACGTCGGATCCCAGGAGAACAGCGGCCTCTAAGGCCTCGCAGGACTCAAAAACAGACTCCAAGCGCTCTGCGACCAAGAAACACCAGCAGAAGAAGAAGAAGCGTCAGGATGTCAATCCACCCTCAGACTCAGACCCAAGTTCCGATTCCAGCGATGATGACTCGTCCTCCCAGAGTTCGGATGACAGTTCGGACGAGAACCCTGGGGTTAACCTGACGGCGGCCTCTACGGCTCAAGCTGGCACTACGCTCCTGACGTTCCGACCATACATCAACTCGAATACTCTGGATCAATTCGATACTAAGGTGTCGCTCAGAGAACGCGTGCATTGGTGGGAGCGTTTTGCGAACATGGCGGCTCAGGGAGGTTGGTCTACGAAGATGCGAATTCAGGAACTCAAGCTGAAGCTCTCAGGAGCTGCGCGTGACTGGTTCAACCAGTTGCCCAAGCACACTCAGCGTGACTGGAAGGAGTTGGCGTCTGCATTCAGGAAGAAGTACTGCAAGGCACTCTGAACGCTACTTCACGATGGAGATGAAGAGCTCAGAGAGCGCCCTGGATTTCTTCTATCGTCTGAACTCCGCCGCTGGGAAGGCTGACATTGACTTTCGCAAGTCTTCGAAGCGTCTGGAGAAGCATATCCGGACGTTCATCACGAAACTCAGGGACACGCGCCTCAAGACGTCGCTGCAAGGCCAGCGATTCAGGAGTATCGCTGATCTAGAGTACGCCCTGGAACAGGACGAAGATGTCTGGAGTCGCAGTGACCATGATGCTCCGCCACCCAGAGCTCGTGACTTTCGTACCGACAACATTCCTCAGGGACGTTTCAAGCCGAAGCGACAAGGACGTGCGTATGTGACTAGGGGCGATGTCTCTGACTCTGAGTCAGACGAAGACCCTGAAATTCACGCGCGTTTCCAGGAAATCACGGACGAACCCAGAATTTCAGCCCGAAGTGCGAGCGCGAATTCAGGGTCAACTCGTGAGATCTCTGGAGAGGAAGCTTCTACGTCTAGCGCTGGAAGCCTGGCGAGTATGAAGGGTGCCGAGTGGGCTCAGACGCTGACGAACGAGGGCTATCGCGTGATGGATAACATGGGATGGCGTCCACCGAACGCCCAGCCTGGACCGAACGCGAACTCTGGATTCCGTTCCCCTCGCCGCGAGAACCGGAATTGGGACAAGTTCTGCGAGAAGTGCGGTAAGTGGGGGCACCCAGAGGAAAACTGCTGGAAAGACGTGAAGTGTGATCGCTGCCTGGAGATGGGTCATCCGACTCACTTGTGTCGCGCGCAACCGTGCAAGAACTGTGGCAAACTACATCTCGGGAAACCGTGCAAAGACTGGAAGACACTGGAAGCTGTGAAGAAACTCGCCCGCCAAGGTGCACTGAAGGACATGCCGAGCCAAATCCTGGATAAACTCCTGGATGGCGAAGCAAACTCTGGGAGGCCGTCAAACCAATAAGCCCACTGGGTGGGGACCCAGTACGCGCCGGGCTGAAGAAATCCCCAGAGTTATGTGTTATAGTGTATGTAGGCCCGGAGCTGAGAACAACAACCCAAGATAACCAACAATGCATGACTACTTTGACTTAGGATTTTATGACTTCCCCTGAAAATCAGCATCCTGAACCAGCGAAGTCTGGGTCGGTGAACTCTGAAAAATTGTGGAGTACAAGCTGAACCCTGGAGAACGCTACGGATGGTGGGAAAACAATGATCCTGACCCGAAGAAACGTGATGTGGCGATGGTGCATGGCGCTGTGAACGACTGCCGGACGAGAGTTCTCCTGGATACCGTGGGTAATATTTGTTCTCGTAGGCTGAGCAGCCATTGTCATCGTCAAAGGTGGGGAATCGTGATGATCGACCACTGATGAGGTCATTGCATGGATTTGAAAGCGGTGGGAACGCCACCTGAATCTCCGGACGAAAACTTTATACGCGCGTTGAATGCCCGGACACCGTCTTGACATAGCGCCACGCTCCGATATCGCTGTGGCACTTCCACGACCAGCGGCTTGTCCTTGCACTTGCCGTGCTCTCCGATCGGCAAATTCCCATCCAGCGGATCATTATTCTTCAGGTACACGTGATTGACACAAGGCGGTCCCCAGAAAATTGCCGACGATGTGCCGTCACCTCTGTGACCTGGAGTTTGTATCGGATGCTGATTGGTGGATGACTTGGATTCGGCGCGGCTGTACCCGTGTGACATGGATGGCGACTGTGGGAGAGAAGTGATTTCTCGGGATGAATCCAGCGCCTGACCGCAGATGGGCCCAACTGGCTGGAAGTGTGAATCCTGGGAGTGCACGCCCAGGATTTCAGAGAACACTCAGTCCAGCCGCGGACTTTCCCTTACGATGAGTGCCTAAAGTCTGGCGGAAAGTGTCTCTG